GTCCTGGAAGAGAATTGTTGAATAAAGTCATTATTTATTTTTCTTTGTGCACAAAAAGTATTCTCGTAGCTTCATAAGTTACGGTTGAAGCACTGACGTCACATGGACTGTTTTAATGATGTCCTTACTACAGTTCTGGGCCTTGAGCGTTTCAGTTGCATTGCTGTCTATGTAGGGTCAGAAAGCTCTCGGATTTCACTAACAATATCTTAATTTGTGTTCCAAAGATGAATGAAGTTCTTACAGGTTTGGAACGAAATGAGGATGAGTAATTAATGACATAATTTTAGTTTTTGGGTGAACTAGCACTTTAAGAACTGGCTTTTGTTAGTTCAAGGGATTCTGCATCTTTATTTGGAAGCGTATAATGGGACAAGGCATGGAAAGTTTTGTATCAGCAGCAAAGTTTAAGAAGTATCAAACAAAATGCTGCATAGGATTTATCCGACCGAACAAAAGATTTAAACTGAACATTACATGAACTGGAGAAAGAAATATTTGTTTTGTTGTATTTATGCAGGATTTTTATTTTTTTTGTCAGGATTTGGAAACTTATATTGAGATAAAATATGTATGTATGATCTAAATTAGTCTTTGGTGTGATTTTAATAAATTTGATACTTTTCGTACATTAAAGAACAATGTTTATTACAGTTAATTATTTTACTTGGAAGATACCACATACACGAGAAAACAACTAGTTCCTTACATTCTGTAAGCAAACTTATGAATCTCTCTTCAATGTTACGTAAGATTATTTTCTCTGACATGAATGTGACTACACTCTAAAAAATGCTGGGTTAAATATAACCCAGCGCTGGGTTAAAAAGGGACAAACCCAGCTATTGGGTTGTTTTGACCCAGCGGTTGGGTTCAAAACAACCCAATAGCTGGGTTTGTCCCTTTTTAACCCAATAGCTGGGTTACATTTAACCCAGCATTTTTTAGAGTGTATATACAAATTTCTCTTTTGAATGTTCTCATAGCATTGAATGAAAAAGAATGTACAAATCTAATATGATTAACATCTTAAGACATACATGATGGGCACATGAAAATGTGCTGCATATGAGAAATCGCTTGTATAACGAGATGATGTGTGTGTGAAGTACAATGCGTCCTCTATTTGCGGTTCTGCTGCTGTGATGAATGTATTCATGTGAATTGTCCTGTGGCTCCGTGTGTGTTTGGATTCTCAGTCGAATCTCCTCCGTGTGCCAGAATTGTCTCATTGACCTGCGGCCTTGAGCGCCACCTCCATCTGATCTCAAACGCCTGGGATTAGTTACAAATGAATACAAACCTGTTTCACATTTCCCTGCCAACTGGAAACTTTCTTTTCTCTTTCTCCTCTCGGTCTGTGATTCTAGCTAAAGCTGTTGGTAAGTCTTCTGTCTTAGCTGAGCTGTTGGCTTTGCTTCTGGAATGCCTGAACTCATGAACCTTCTGTGCAAACTCATAGTCTCTCCTCAGTCTCTCTGTTGAAAAGTGTGAGGCTTTGTTGTTCGTCAGAGGTGTTTATTATTTCATTGAAGCCTGTACCACACTGCAATTGCAGATTCTGGTACTTAACATCTATATTTTGAAGGCGTTTACTGTAAGGGTTTGTTCATATATTTTCATTCACTTATTTATACAACAATTTTTTTGAAAAAAACAAGTGAAAATGATTTTTCTTTTCGGATTTATTTCAGATTTTTGGAGTGATAAAAAGAGAAATCCAAAATCCCCTCTGGAAAAACCTTTGACTGTGTCAACAAAATCAAACAAGATCTTTGAACCTGGCTTCCTCCAATGTTCAGATTTTGTTCTAGAAAATCTAAAATTTTTATTTAAAATGAGAGACAGACCTAAAGTCCACCTAAAGTTTATACATAGGCTGTATATATTTAGCACCAATTATTGTTCAGCAAAATCAGTCATAATTCAGTTTTTTTCAATTACTGTTTTCAACCTTATCTCTGAGACTTATCATTAAATGGGTCGTTTTTTTCTGCTCTGCATGTAAGACTTTTATGCTTTTTCACATGTGAAATGATTCTGATTTATGGAGTGATAAAAAGAAAAATCCAAAATCCCCTCTGAAAAAACCTTTAACTCTAATATGACAACAAAGTCAAACAAGAATTTTGAACCTGACTTTATCCAATGTTCAGATTTATTTTCTGGAAATGAGTGCATATTTCATTACATAATGCTGAAGTTGCATGTTTAAACATAACATTTCAGAAAACTTGTCATACAAGAAAGTTTCTTAATGTAATCAATCAACCTTCGAATGGTAAGATCTATTAGTTCATTTTCTACCCTATTCACCCGTAGTGTCTCGCTTAAACCATAAATCTGCTTGTGTTGTCTGCTGGGTCTATCAAACTATCTAAATCTGCTCTGATCAAGATCAGATACTTGATTATTTAAACAATGACCGTGATGGAAATAAAGAGCCAAAGTTAGTCATTACTCAGTGAGGGATTGACAGTTTGCTTACATTCATTGATTTTCATATGTTTTATATTCATATCTTTTGAAATGTTGATCTTATCGAACCGATTTGTGTCATTTGATCAAGTGGGATTTAGTATTTTAGTGAGACGCCAACCAAATTACAAGGACACTGTCCTGGAAGAGAATTGTTGAATAAAGTCATTATTTATTTTTCTTTGTGCACAAAAAGTATTCTCGTAGCTTCATAAGTTACGGTTGAAGCACTGACGTCACATGGACTGTTTTAATGATGTCCTTACTACAGTTCTGGGCCTTGAGCGTTTCAGTTGCATTGCTGTCTATGTAGGGTCAGAAAGCTCTCGGATTTCACTAACAATATCTTAATTTGTGTTCCAAAGATGAATGAAGTTCTTACAGGTTTGGAACGAAATGAGGATGAGTAATTAATGACATAATTTTAGTTTTTGGGTGAACTAGCACTTTAAGAACTGGCTTTTGTTAGTTCAAGGGATTCTGCATCTTTATTTGGAAGCGTATAATGGGACAAGGCATGGAAAGTTTTGTATCAGCAGCAAAGTTTAAGAAGTATCAAACAAAATGCTGCATAGGATTTATCCGACCGAACAAAAGATTTAAACTGAACATTACATGAACTGGAGAAAGAAATATTTGTTTTGTTGTATTTATGCAGGATTTTTATTTTTTTTGTCAGGATTTGGAAACTTATATTGAGATAAAATATGTATGTATGATCTAAATTAGTCTTTGGTGTGATTTTAATAAATTTGATACTTTTCGTACATTAAAGAACAATGTTTATTACAGTTAATTATTTTACTTGGAAGATACCACATACACGAGAAAACAACTAGTTCCTTACATTCTGTAAGCAAACTTATGAATCTCTCTTCAATGTTACGTAAGATTATTTTCTCTGACATGAATGTGACTACACTCTAAAAAATGCTGGGTTAAATATAACCCAGCGCTGGGTTAAAAAGGGACAAACCCAGCTATTGGGTTGTTTTGACCCAGCGGTTGGGTTCAAAACAACCCAATAGCTGGGTTTGTCCCTTTTTAACCCAATAGCTGGGTTACATTTAACCCAGCATTTTTTAGAGTGTATATACAAATTTCTCTTTTGAATGTTCTCATAGCATTGAATGAAAAAGAATGTACAAATCTAATATGATTAACATCTTAAGACATACATGATGGGCACATGAAAATGTGCTGCATATGAGAAATCGCTTGTATAACGAGATGATGTGTGTGTGAAGTACAATGCGTCCTCTATTTGCGGTTCTGCTGCTGTGATGAATGTATTCATGTGAATTGTCCTGTGGCTCCGTGTGTGTTTGGATTCTCAGTCGAATCTCCTCCGTGTGCCAGAATTGTCTCATTGACCTGCGGCCTTGAGCGCCACCTCCATCTGATCTCAAACGCCTGGGATTAGTTACAAATGAATACAAACCTGTTTCACATTTCCCTGCCAACTGGAAACTTTCTTTTCTCTTTCTCCTCTCGGTCTGTGATTCTAGCTAAAGCTGTTGGTAAGTCTTCTGTCTTAGCTGAGCTGTTGGCTTTGCTTCTGGAATGCCTGAACTCATGAACCTTCTGTGCAAACTCATAGTCTCTCCTCAGTCTCTCTGTTGAAAAGTGTGAGGCTTTGTTGTTCGTCAGAGGTGTTTATTATTTCATTGAAGCCTGTACCACACTGCAATTGCAGATTCTGGTACTTAACATCTATATTTTGAAGGCGTTTACTGTAAGGGTTTGTTCATATATTTTCATTCACTTATTTATACAACAATTTTTTTGAAAAAAACAAGTGAAAATGATTTTTCTTTTCGGATTTATTTCAGATTTTTGGAGTGATAAAAAGAGAAATCCAAAATCCCCTCTGGAAAAACCTTTGACTGTGTCAACAAAATCAAACAAGATCTTTGAACCTGGCTTCCTCCAATGTTCAGATTTTGTTCTAGAAAATCTAAAATTTTTATTTAAAATGAGAGACAGACCTAAAGTCCACCTAAAGTTTATACATAGGCTGTATATATTTAGCACCAATTATTGTTCAGCAAAATCAGTCATAATTCAGTTTTTTTCAATTACTGTTTTCAACCTTATCTCTGAGACTTATCATTAAATGGGTCGTTTTTTTCTGCTCTGCATGTAAGACTTTTATGCTTTTTCACATGTGAAATGAGTAGCAGTAAGTTCAGAAAGATATCTTTGCAGCAATAGACCTTTTTTTTTTTTTTTACTGAGGGACTTTTCAGTTCTGAAAAGTTACAGTATATTTTCATAGTCCAGTGAACTCTAATTTCAAACAATCAAGAAAACATTTACGCATTACACATTTGGCAGAAACTTACATCTGTAGCCACTTACGGTGCATTCAGGGTTAACATTTAATCAGAATGCGTGTTCCATGATAATCAGACCCAGGGCATTGGGATTGCTAGTGCCGTGCTCTACCGATTACAGGATCTGACTGGTGTCATTGACCTCAGTCTGTTGAAGTCTAATATAATTGTTCTGTATCTGTGCAGGTGAGCTCTGTGTGACGAGCCTCCATGACACCCAGTTTCACAACTGAAGCTCCCTGCCTGAGGGAGCGTCTCCTTCCACCTGCCCAAATGCTGGGTTTTCATTCTGATCCCCCTGTTCTCCACTAAACTCCCTCAACAGACCATCCCCTACCCACCATCACCATACTCACCATGTCAAGCCGAAGGAAGTCATTCAACCCTTGTGTGCTCCGTGCAACCAGTTTTCCTGCAGAAGACTCTTTGGAAATGGATGTTTCAGCAGAGACCGTGTTGGACAGATATTCACCTGTGCCACTCACAACACACGAAAACTGGACGTCACTGAACAATAAAGAAGAGGACCAGTCAGAGTGGGGTTCTGCATCGGAGCAGGGTTTGAATATTAGAGATCATGAGGAGATCCCTCAGTCTGAAAGTCCAGTCAGTACACTCTACCTTTGTACCATCTGTAATTTCAGTACCAACAAGTTTGAGTCCCTCTCATGCCATAATAAAGTGCAACACCCAGGTGAGAGCAGTTTTAAAGTCAGGCATATCAAACTGGATAGCCAAAGCATCCTGGAGCAAACCATTGAGAGCAAGAATGATAGATCCATTCAGGAAGCTAAGGACACTATAAAAGACTTGGGACCGTTTTTAGACTCCAGCAGTTCAGCAGGTGAAGACACTGGAAAGACAACAATGGAAAACAGCAGCATTTTGGATAAAGGCCTAGATGTGGAGAAGGAGCTGGACAGTCCAGTGCTGAAGGATGAGATCAGAGCAGTGAGCGTAAATGGTACCATCATTATTTCGGAACCTATGTGTCATGTAACGCCTCTGCTACAGCGACCTCCCAGACTCAGCACCTCTCCAACAATCGCAGTTCCTATTCACACCACCAAGTACAACCCCATATTGGACAGCAATGTTACCCTGATCACATCTTTTAACAGATTCCCATATCCGACCCACACAGAGCTCTCCTGGCTCACTGCAGCTTCCAGGCACCCTGAGGACCAGATCAAGGTATGGTTCACCACTCAGCGACTGAAGCAAGGCATCACCTGGTCCCCTGAAGAAGTAGAAGAAGCCCGTAAGAAGATGTTCAATGGCAGTATACCACCCACACACCAGACCTGTGAAGTTTTGCCTGCACCTGCTGTTGAAACACACAACCCTGGGCAGGCACAATCAGCTACTTGTCATGGATTTGGACAGACCAGCCTTGCATCAAACATCACAGCTGACAGATCACCCACTGCTTGTACGCCTGGCATTGCTACAGCAGTCCGTCAGGCACCGACACTTAAGCGGCCTTTAGGAACTTCTTTCTTGGCTTCAGTGGTCAAACGTCCAACTGGAGACCCCAAAGAGAGTATGCGCATGCCCCCTCCATCAGCTCCACCTCCAGAAAAACTCACTATCGCTGCTTCTCCTGGGCTTTCGGAGACTAGAACATCTAGCCCTGGTTCTTTGGTGGCCTCGGACATGAAGAGACCTGTTCCTGTACATTTTGTCCCATCTAAAGGGGAACCCCCAATAGTTCAATCCATAGAGAAGATACCTGTGGCACTTCCTTCAGTGTTGCCCAAAGAAAAACTCCCTTTGTCACCCATAGTTTCCACCAATCACAAAAGATCTGTAATTGCTAAGCAATTAAGCAATCATACTTCAGCCTCCTCGTTCGTTGCTAAAAACAAGTTTGGTAATGGTGTAACCGTGCCTTTAGCACCAGCTGTGGCGACCCCACAAATGAGTAGACCAACGATCATTCAGACATTGTCGGCCGTGCCTCTGTCCCTATCTCCAACTCCAGTCTTTCAGTGTACGTCTATAGAGCCATCAGTTGCTCCAGTGTTCTCATGCTTCAGTAGTCAGAATGGAAAAGAAACTACAAATTCCCAGAATGATTCCCAGAAGTCACATGTTGAATTTGCTCTGAGGGAGCATTGTGTTCCCACTCAGTTTCCTCTACTAGAGAGAGTGAAGGACAAGAGTCCTGAACAAATGAAGCTTCTAGAGGAGAGTTTTCAGAGGAACAGTTTCCCGTCCTATAATGAGGTCGAGCACCTCGTGATCACCACTAGAATGTCCAGAGAGGAAATTGAAAGCTGGTTCTTGGAGCGCAGAGCTCTTCGAGATGATTTGGAACAAGCCCTGCTGAACTCCATGGGCTCT